TGAAGTGACGTTAAGTGCAACTTTCTCTTCCCCTTTTCTCTCATTTTCCTCCTTCAACAGCTCTTCATCCCTTTCCTCCCAGCTCACCAACCTTGTCCACCCCTCCCACAACTCCTCTTTCCCTTCCCCCGCAGCTCCATCACACCTCCCCCAATTTGCCAACTTTGTCTACCCCTTCCACAACCCCTCTTTCCCCTCCCCATAGCCCCCTCTCCTCTCCTTCCTCCCCCATAGCTCCATCACCCTTTCCCCCTCCTCCCAACCCCTTTTCTCATAGCCCCTCTTTCCTTTTCCCACAGTTTATCTTCTCCCCTTTTCTTAGCCCTTCCCCTTCCATTTTTCTAACTCATCAGTCTCCCTCTCCCGCAGCCCCCTTCCTTTTCCACAACTCATCAAAACCGTAAAGTACACCTTATGTCATCAATTAGGAGTATAAGTATCCTTGAGAAATTTTATATGTCGTGGAATAAGTAGTTATTACAAGAAAAAGACTCATTAATTAAGAAGAAGATATTTGCGTTGATAATTTATGCTATGCATTTTGTTTAGCAAGGAGTTATGTCTAACCCTCACTTAATACCTTGACAATAAGAAGACACATAACATATTTTGTATTTGTCACAACCACTTTCCAAAAAAAAAAAAAAGTTTAATAACATATTATATATATGTATATATATCCTATACAAATTTATCCACTGAAATAAAATCGATCAAAATATTCAACTCAATATGAATTATAAAAGAACTAAAACTTAACAAGCCTCAAGAGCATTCTCACAAAATGTATAACCATAATTATCTATCAATAATTTATAAGTATATATTAAAACTGCTCAGTATGGAGCTAAAAGTACAAATTTACAATATTTATAACTCAGTCAAATTTATACTTAAATATCTCAGTCTCACAACTGAGGTCTGAATTATAAAATTTTCAAAGAAAACTACTTATTCAAAAAGAATGTCTCTCCACTTTATTCACTGCTCAACATGTGAAGTGAAAAGCATTACCTATCACACTTGCTCACGTATCATAGTACGATCATCGCAATGTACACAACACACCAACACAAACACAAAATGCAAGAGTGAGCTTAAGAAATCAATCATCTATATCACAAGATTATGAAATATATTATAAGCAATTATACAACTTTCATAATTTCCAACAGGTAATACAACAAATTTAACTAACTTCTAGCTCATCTAATGCAAATGTAACAATTCAGTTCTAACTGATTTTACAGCTTAATTAATCTAGAAGAAACCTACACTTTTGTTGGTCTAGGAGCGACTCATCCCGATATCTAGATCCAAATATACAGCAGAGTACAACTTAGCATGTCATCTAATTGATACATGCATACCCTATCTAAACATGTAACTAGGCTCTAAAATGATGATATTTTATTATATATAGCTCAACCACAATTATGCATTTAACAGCTCAACAATATTTAGCAGTATATTAGAGGGGGGAGAAGACTGGTGAGTTGAGGAGAAAGGGATGGGAGAGTTTTGAGTGGAGGAAGGGGAGGAGAAGAGAAAGTTGCACTTAGTGTCACCTAAGTTTCACCATTTTTTTTAATATTTTTTAAATAAGAAATCTAAATTATATTAAATAAATAGTTAAGGTCATCTCAATGCTACCTAGAATATCTCTGTTAAACCATGTAACAGAGTTAACGAAAAGGGTCTACATAAAAAAAAAATATTTGAGGTCAAAAATATAAAAAAATAAAAAATTAAAGTTCGAAATGAATTTTATCCTAAAATTAAGTTAAAAAATGAAAAAAAAAATTTACCTTTTAAAAGTCTATTATTTTTAATAATTCTTAATTATTATTCATTTTTACTATTTTTAACCTTCAAACAAGTATACATATATGATATAATAAAAAAGGAGTATTTACCAAAATTATTCTAACAAATACTAGATTTATTGAATTATGAGTATGGAGACTAAACAAGAATTGAAAATTATAATAACAAAAATTTAAAAAATTTAAAAGAGTGATACGATAAACAAACATGCAAAAAAGAACCAATTATAAATAAGCCTAAGGTTTTAGTTTTATTTATATGTTCTTTAATTTATTTTTTCTTTTATCTTTTTATTAATTTATTAATATTTTAGAGTATTCTTTCATTATCTATTAATATCTCCGATTATCATATGAAAAATAATTAATGATGAGAGAAATATAATAAATAAATAAATTTATTAATTCAATAATCAATTAAATTTAATTATTCGTATAAATAAAAATATAAAATCAAACTAGATTATATAAATAATTCATAATTTTAGTTGAAGAGAATTAAAAAGTAAAGTTTTTATATTCAGAAATGATTGGAAAAAAAAAAAAAAGAAATCGATGCTACATGTACTCAAAATTTTAAAATTTTAATCTTAAAAAAAATAAAACTAAAAAAAATCTAAATGTAATATTCAAATATTTTGAAAAGGAAGGAGCATCCTTAAAATGCAAAATAGATTTAAAAAAGAAAAAGAATGGTTGTAGTACGACAATCCACCGACTATTTTGAAGAAAGTGACGCTTATTTATACGATGGACACGTAATTTTCATGATTCCTAGAAAGTTCAGCAATTTTCTTGTACCAATCTGGCAACGCTTATCAAGGAATCAACAAATTTTTACAATCTTTTAATATTATTTATTAATAACTCAAAAAATAATATGTAAATTATGACCTTAATAAAGTGACGCACGGGTAATTATGGGAACCCGGAAAGCTTCGTAGTCACTTGCAATTCAACAACTCATCAAAATGTCTGGTGTTCCTCTCCCAAGAGATTTGCCAAAAGTATAAACCTTCACTAGATAGGCTTCTAACCATTGAACTAAAGTTTATTTACTCATTCAGCCATTCCTTGTAATTCTATTGAGAAATATGTTATTCTACAATAATATTTGTTATGGAGCATTTCCAATAACCTTTTTTCAAGAATAGGAAAGAAGTGACTATCTAAATGAAGAGGGAGAAAAGTTAATCTAGGAGAAAGAAAAATTTTGTTTTCTTGTGTAATCAGTCTCTTTTAAATCAATACATTCATTAGTGATGCTAATACAACATTAAAATGAAATAAAGTAGACTGCAGTTAATTTATATATCCAATGGGTAATAAAAACTTAAAGTGTAAACCAAAATTTAAAATTTGATACAAAAAGTAGGGTATTTTATAATCCTTTCCTTTAAGCCAATTCCTCATTCGACTTTATAGTTTGTTGATAACTTCTTAAATCAGGGTTCGAAAATGGTATAAAATCAATACTCTTCTCAAAAAGATGTTAAAATCATACCTCACTCTTTTGAAAGATATAATGTACTATCAATTTAGTGCATTTATAATTAGCAAGATGAGTAGCGAAAATGCAAGGACACCCACCGTATCCGGGAGAAATGCCAAGGAAAAAAAGAGTAATACATCCTTATGGTGCCTAAAATCATAGGTATTTATTAATTTTGATCATAAAATTATAGTCTTTGAAATTTTACAAAATCAGTTATTTTAGTCTCTAACATTATAAAAAAATATCCCTATACTTATTGAAAATTAATATTTTAATCTTTGAAATAATAGATAGTCGTCAATCTCTTTCCTATAATTATGAGAAACAAATTTTACTCCTTAAATGTATTAGAAATTAATTATTCTACTCTTTTTTTATAATCTTTATTAAATTAATCTAATGATACATTTAACGTGACATACTAAGTGTCAATGGAGTGCATACATGACATAAAACTTACCAATGAGTAATCCTAATATTTTAGCATACAACTCAAAATATTATAGTTTTTATAATCTTGTTTACAAAATTTTTTTTGTCATAATTTTAAAGACTAAATTGACGGGAGCCATAATTTTAGGAATTAAAATAATTAATTTATGATAAGTTTAAAGGCTAAAAATTCTGTTTCATAATTTCATAAACTAACTTGACATGTGACTATAATTTTTGGACTAAAATGATAATTTTTTAACGATTTAAAGACTTTTTTTTTTCCATAGAGACTAAATTAACAAAATGTCTGTAATTTGAGGGAATAAAAATGACATATTAATAAATAGACTAATAAACGGCTGCACATTCTACCACCAATTCTACACCTGGAAATAATGATTTTGCACCTTCGCAGTTCCATAAGAAATGAAGAAAAACGTGACAAATTAATACCAACAGTACAGAAAAATTGTGTTTGGCGATTTTGAAATTATGGTCATTTCAATAATCCAGCGAAGGGAAGGAAAAAAAAAAGAACTAGGGCTCATTCTGTGGTTGTCCAAAAAGGAAATAAATAGTTAATAAACCACCAAAAAATCTAAAATTATTCACTGTATTTTCGTCCAAATGTGGAGCCTACTTGCGCCCTCATCCCCCCAAATCCACAAAATCTCAATCAACCAACGACAATCTTCTATTACCAATTGGACTCAGAAAGCTCAAACCTCCAATATGAACACTTATAAAATCAGCAAATGCGAGCACGAATATATTTTACCCAAAAATGGGTCCAAATTTACTTACCCGGAAAACGATAAAAGAGATATAAAAAGTAATGCACTACGCATCTTTTCATTTGTGGGAACAGGTTAGATAATTTTTAAGCAAAATTCAACTCTGACCTGATTAAGATTTTATTATTATGCGAATTAGTTCAACAAGTTGTGATTGAATTGAATTGGTGTTCTAAGATCCATCCCTTTCTCTATTTCAAATGTATTTTCAGAATGGGACCTGATTTATATCTTCACAAATGATAATTACTCGACGGCAATTTTGATTTATATTCACCCGAGTACCGATATATTTAATTTTCAAGAATTATATCAATTATTAATGATGTATAATAATGAAAAATCACAATATTCAATTAGCAACCGATAAATCATTCAATGTACTTGGGAAAGAAATTAATGCTAGACGAACCCACCCCCTAAGAAAGAAAAGATTGGCAAAACAATTAGAACCACCAAGATATTGGTTCAATAAATCACCACCTTCCAACTTGGTCGGAAGAATTTACAAAATATGATCTTGTTACTTCATAGTAAATTGACAGTACTATACATCCAGAAAAAATAAAATAAGATCAAAGTTGATATAATTGAAGAAAGACGTGAATGAAATATATCTGACAATTCTGACCATGTTTCATAAATCAACCTGAAAATATCAATTGCAAGTAAGTGTTATTAGATGTCTCAATTTAATAAGGTATTAACGCATCCACCTTTTTCATTTAATACTGTATTTTCACTGATTAGGGGCACATTAAGAAAAAAGGCGCGTCTTCTGTGGCCAAAGACTGTCTCAGAACATGGAAACAAAAACAGAAAATCACAATACGAGATGGATTCCCTAGAATTTATGTAACTCTCGAAATGGTCCTTGAGATTGATACTATTCGGTTATGTTCGGAACATTCCGTGTGCTCCTGCAGATCCTTTCTTCCGGAATGTAAATTAGTAAACCCAAAATTAAACCGAAGTAAAGAAACCCATGTAAACTACATATAATGCTAATCCATAAGGAATGAAGCCTTCAAACCCAACCAAGACTCCATGCGACTAGCAAGGCTGCAGATGAAAAGTATCATCTAGGAATATGGGGACCCAACAATAAATAAAGAGAAATCTTGTTTATACACAACGCAGATATCATTCCTTTCATCTTACTTTCTTACCTTTCATTGTCATTAAACGAGCTGAATGGGGCAATCAGAGCTCAAATAGAAACAAGATTAAAAGGAAAAACATGTTTTATTCCTTGCAAACAGAATCCTACATGCAATTATCAACCTAGGACAACTACCACCAAAAATAAAATACTAAGACACACTGCCCTGGCTAAGAACGGCAGCCTAATAACCTGCTAGTCACAATGTGCATTGAATAAATAACTTTCCTGTCAACAATTCCCAAACACATTTCGCAATACCTGCAAGGAAATGGGCTGGCTATGATTAAAACCAACAAAACAAGTTTTTGTAAAGCATACTACCAATGTTTGTAAGGAGAATAAGCTTATCAGCTAAAATGAGATGTTCCACACTAACAATAACAGTTTTGGCAGTGTCAATAATATAAGGAATCACAAGTATTTTAAAAACCCAGCGCAGATCAGTCTGTATACATCAGGCGTTAAAGAAAACTAGACTGTAGCAAACATTGGCCAATATGTGAAATCAGTCATCGTTCTAGGCTTTTCTGAATGTCCAGCATTTCTCAAATAATACACATGCAGACCTCAGATTTATGCAGAAAACAAGAAAAAAAATTTGAAATATGCGTCAACTCAACGCATCAAACTGACTGGTTGGGCCTTTAACTGCATAAATAGTAGCATTTATTTTTCATTGTAAGATATGTTTTCCCTTTTGGGCTATACCAGCTATTTACCAATATTAAAATTAAACCAAAGGGTTCTAACTTCTAATCAAGGTCAAAATAAGAGACAATAAAAATTACAAACTAGATCTAATATCCACATTGAAGAAAAATACAATATTGTTAATATATTACTTTCAAATCTATATCCTAAATTTTTATTTTGACTAGTCTTCAAAAAAATTAAATTTAACTGACTTTTTTTTTCTTTTTGTATTTGCTTTTATAAGACTTGAAAGATAAAACTAGCTTAACAGTCTAATAGGGAAATACAAAATACTCCTAATAAATTAACAAGCACAAAGGAATATGGGAAACCAAGAAGACACATTGTTACCATATGGCACCTTCTATGAAAGAACTTCATCTTCAAGATAATTATACTCAAAAGTGAATTCAGTCTTGATTCTTTGACACCTGAATAAACACATAAAGGTACAGATAAGTCAGGAGAAACAGAAGAGCAAAATTAAACCATATAAAATTATGTTTACATATATGCTAAATTATGACTGCAAATATAACAAATATACATTCATTCAACATACCATCCATGTTGCATGTCATCGTTTGCAATATGAAAATCAAAGTACACATATGTTCCCTGCTCATATTCATCTGTAGCAACTTTGGGCTCTTCGTGCCGCTGAAACCATGTGTTATACTTTCGGTGGTATCTCCAAGACTGCTTTTTTAGCTCCTTTGCAGCCAAATACTGTTGGTATGTATTCTGCAGAATAAAAAGGATATAAGCTCACATGAATGAAAACCCTGATAATATAATCACCGAGAAAATTCAGGTACCTGTTGATAATAAAATGCAAAGAACATAGTATCGGTGCCAAATGGTTCAAGACCTAATCTCTCCCAAAAGGCAGGATTATTAACAATTGGTGCCTGTACTTGGGGATAGCTAGGAGGTGTAATTGCTGGATGCCTCTGCAGAACCACCAGAAAAACAGAAAAGAAAATTCATTATATGGGCATAAATATAATAATAGATTATTCAAATGAGCAGGATGACAATTATAACTTGCAATGCATACAGGGGTATAAGTCCTGGGACGTTCAGAGTCTTTAGATTGTGGAATTTTGAAGTGGGCTGCCTCAAGCATTTGCAAATTAAAAAATTGATCACGCACTCCACCAGAAGAAACACTTGATCCACTAAAATTATCACCAATCGCCCCAAGTTCAGGACCATTTCTTCTTCCAATGACACCAAGGTTACCAGTAGCTTGATTGGATTGCAAGGGTTGACCAGGAGACAAATCAATATCCCTGGAAGTTTGAGCAGATTCTGGAAGAGAGGCAGATACTCCTGCCTGCATCATAAACAACAAATAGTCAACCCAAATCATCCTTAAATTCAATATTTCAATTTATAAAACAAATCAATCAAAATGCATATTGTGTTGGATACTCCTGCCTGCAGCATAAACAACAAATAGTCAACCCAGATAATCCTTAAATTCAATTTTTCAATATATGAAACAATCAATCAAAATGCATATTTTGTTATCTGAAACTCAGGGAAGTCTTAGTCATTTCAACCTTAGCCAATACCTCATCAGCTAAACTCATTAAAGTGCTGCTATTGAACTAATCATCTGATTTTCAAATCAGATGCTAAGTAATAAATTTGTCCACCTCAACTGAATGGAAGAACAAGAATAACAAATTTTCCATGTAGGTATGTGCTCTGGGTTTCCTTCAAATATATTTACAAATTTTATATTTTACTACCCTCTTAGAAAGCAATTGATCAAGATTACAAGTGCAATTTTGTTTAGTCAATTTCAGTAACCAATCTAATCAAAAGACTAGGATGGCTGACTCACCGGTTTTCCCAGCTTATGATCTGATGATATACTAATACAATATATGATGCATTACATGCACAGCAAAGTAGGAAATATAATAAAAAGTGAACATATTACATGCTTCAGCAAGTTATAAAAGGAGTAAGATAAATCTTCAAAAAATAAAAAAAAGATCAGGAGTTAGTCAGCATACGGGAAAATCTACAGCATATGTTGATTTTGAATCATCTTCATTTATGAGATTCTTTACAGTCCCAGTGCTAGCAGTAGATTCGGTTGTTGACTCATCAGGAAAATTCTGATGTTGCTGCTGCTCTTCAATCTTAGAATTGCCAACATCTGCATAATACAAAGAGTATGATATACCCCATATCATAATAACACCAATATTTGATATTTGCACTTTGAGAAGTGCTAACAACATTCGCTCTAACATACTCTCAAGTACTAATTGAAATTTATTGAAATCTACAAAATTAATGAAGACTCGTTAAATTAAGAGCAGGACCTATATAATTTTGGTGATTTTCAATTTCAACCAATAATAGTATGAAAGAGTGTTTTGATAGTATTTCTCTTTATGTTTTTGTTAATAATAATAAATAATAATAATTATTATTATTATATTCTTAAAACAGATGTGTCCATATATTTACTTGATATTGATTCAGTCATTAATACAGCAATTTTTCAAATTTGATCCACAGTCCAACTATAGAACTTATTCAGCAAATCACAACTAGTATATATATGACTAACACACCGTACCTGCATCCTTAGGAACACCTGGCATCAATGGCTGCTGACTAGATGAGGAATGGACAGAATTGGGCTGCTGTAGCGAGGCAGAAGAAATACCACTGAGATTTGTGGACTGGACACCAAGTCCAATACCAGATTGAGAAGAAACAGATGAGCCTTGAGAGTTAAACTGCACATATTGTACAATGTCATGCAAATTATATTTTTCTGAGGTAGAAAGAAATGAGGTCATGCAAGGGAGTTGTGTATTATCATTTAACAGAAAAACAATCTATTAATCAGATAAAGTTAATTCACAAATCCATCATCCTCACTGACATATGTGCAGTTAATGATCGCGTGCAACCAAATCACACACCACTAAGAAATATCTAAACTGTACTTGAAACTACATGAAATGTCAGGTGCTTTTGGATGATCCTTGAATTCATATTCAACCCTGAACACAAAAGATTCTTCCTTAAATTTGCACAGGTCGTAACTCCTCCTTTTATAAAATAGGTTTCATATTCCAGTAATTCGCCCATAATCAGACAAATTATCTGGCTGTAAATTTTACCTAATAGTAACCCCCACTCCCCCGCACCACTTTGTAGAGAAGCACAAAATTAAAAATTGACTCCTAATTAAGCTTGAAATATTATCAAGTAAAGAACCACAGTAAAAAGAATCACGACTATGTAGAACGAAATAAAAGTAAAAGAACCAATTAGCAAAGAGAAGACAAAGTTGATATACTCATATATGAGATATACCTGCTGTAAAAGGGGATTTTGCTGCTGGGAAGAAAACTGCTTATGATTTCCCCCAACAAGAGAAGGCATATTAAGAAGGGTGCTGTGCCCTTGTTGCACTTGCTGATACTTCTGCAGAAATTTTTCCCTTTGATCAGGAGCTATTTCAGTTCTTCCACGAAGCTGGCCCTGAAGTATTGGTAACAAACAAGTTCATTCAATGATAATAATTTTGCATATACAACAAAAATGCACAGGATGATACTTTCATTCAACCAAGCAATAACAATATAGAGTGAAGTATTTGTATTGGTCAGACTGGTACTTGAATCCACCCATGTAATTTTTTCAATGCAAATGCATTCAAGAATCTATATAATACATTCAAGCATATACACATAACACATGCATATATACTACACTAGTCGAAGATCACCAAAGATATTAAATCAAGCATGAGAGTTCTTAAATAAAAAGCAGCTATTGCATGACTTCATAAATGGTATTTTAAATTTTTAATCCAGACTATATGATAAAATAGCTCTGATGAACACGATAAACTAATCAACACAAAAAGAAATATTTTCAAAGTCGCATAGTTATAGTCATCTGGAGATCCACACAACATTGGATTCACCCATATGTTTTAAAGCAATGAATATTCTATAGATATCAACAAATGTAAAAATTAATGCCTTTTATGTGAATGTGACAATGTATCTTGGGGTACTCAATATGGTATGCATGTCATAATAAATAAATAACATTACGATGATTGGGTAGGACTGAATTTCATAAAAAAAAAAAAAATTGATTCTAGATTGCATATTCGCACACAAGTTCATATTTTAGCTTTGATGTTGATCCAAAATCTGGATATTAGTATTGTAGGAACAGACTCAACAACCAAAAGTAAAACAAAATGAAATTGCTAGTAATTTTTAAATAAACATAAACAAATCTTACTTCATACTCTGAAACCTGATAATTAAAAACAAACAACAGCAACAGATAATGCAAAATTTTTGGAGGATATAACTACCCAACGGCTCACACTTCATGTTTCACAATCACCAAAATGAACATAGTGGAAAACTAACAAAGTTAGAAAATTTAGGACAAAAAGTTTACTGCATCATTCTGATTCTGAAAGGGACTTCCAGGTCTCCATTGCATGCCAGGAACCACAGAAGGGGAGAAAACTCTCCCAGATACAGCTGCAGCTTCATTAACAGTACTAGAGTCAACTGAAACAGTTCCATCATTAGCCTTCACAGCTTGAGGCAAGATCAATCTATTACTTAGCGGGGATACAAGAGGCTGCACCATCCCACTACTTCCAAGTCTATCATCAGCTCCCAACATGTTCCTTTTGGTTATTTCGGAGACTAAAGGGACTGAACCAAGGCCCCCATTGGTGGAAACCATGTTTCCAGAACCAAGAGGAATGCTAGCTGTTGCTTGATTTGACAGGCCGTTTCTGCCCCTCACAAGTGTTGCATCAGAAAGTGATGGAGATGGTCTCCGGCTAGGGAAGCTATTAATCTCTTCATCCTTTGTAGAGGTAGACGGATTTACAGAAGATGAATTGGTAACATTAGTATTTTCGACATTCCGCAGAGAATTTGACCCAGGTAGAACTGCAACAGCAGGTACGCTGGGCACATTAGGACCAGAAACATTCACGGAAACAGGAGTAGCATGGTTGCCAGCAGGTGTTGAAGGAGCAGAACTAATTCCAACACTTTTAGAAGGTGGAGTCTTTGCAGCAATGTCAGAATTACTATCCAGGGATGCTGTGTCGTCAGCTTGCTCTTGAACATAAGTATCCTGATAATTAGAAATCATAGTTTCCTGTATTGGGTATCAACAATAATCATCTATTTAAATGGCATCTAATGACAATGCAGCTTTTCTCTCCTTCAACTACTAGTCTAGTAAAATAGTAATCACCCAAATGTACTAGCTGAAACTCCATTCATGATACTATCATTTACAATAGTTTGTTATGTCTAATAAAGTGCTATTAGATGTCTCATCAGAAATTGCTTAATTTGGGTATCAAGCACCAAATATAAGATTGATAATGTAAAAATCAGGTTAAAATAACTACTTTGGGTTCTTTCTTCATGTTCTAGGTATATAAATGTTTATGTCATGTTCTAGGCAAACAAGTACCCCTTTCAATTCAATCTCAATTACCAGCTAATCGTAGCAAATAAAATGAATTATCATCAGAACAAGCAGGGGAAGGGAGAGGGGGAGTATTTACACAATGGAACATTGAACAGGAGCATCTAAACAGAGTAGATTAAACTATGTAAAAGCAAGAACCCCATAGAAGATTTCTCAAACAACATCCTAACCTTTCATATTTACAGGCCATAGAAACAGGAAATACATACAGATGATTGTGATGCAGATGCTGATGCGGATGCTGATGGTGCCGGAGAACTCTTCAAGCTAAGACCAGGTGCCACCTGAAAATTACAAAATAAATTAGGAGTTCCACACAGAATAATTCTAATTAATATAATACGTTAAAAGAAAAGTTAATATAAAAAATGAACTTCAAAGATGGGGAGCCTAGGGTCAAAATGCTCAACATTAACAAAAATCAATGCGTAAAATAAAAGGATGGTCATTATTGCATGAGGATCCCAGTAGTGTCAAGTTTGGGGAAGGTAGGACATACACTTACCCCTGTAGGTGGAGCTATTTCCATGTGTAGAACCCACATTATGCATTAAATTAATACAAAGAAGTTGTAGTAGCATCAGAAAATAGACAATCAAATATAGAATTCAGGGGGGAAATCCCAACAGGCCAAAATTAATTGATATAAACCAATCCCACAACACAAACCTACACATGTATCCATTTGTATTTGTGTCTCAGCTATGTATTTTTACAACAAACCAAGAATGGTTAAACAGACCTTAGAAAGAGCAGCGGGAATTGTGACAAGATCTTCTAGAGTATCCACCTTGTCTAAAGGTAATGAACTGTATAGTTCATCAACATCACTGAATTCATCAAAATCCTCCTGCAGAAGAAAATGAAAATTAAGTGGAAAGAAAATAAGCAGTAGGGAGTGTTTGGATGGGGGTGATCATAGGAAGGTAGGGGTAATTATTGGAAAGCTATGTAAAGTTGAAATAAGGAATTATTGGAAAGCTATGTAATAATCTCTCATTTTGTTTTCTCAAATATTGGAAACATTTTCTTAATTGAAAAAGGGCTTAAATATGTTTTTGGTCCCTATATTTTTGCGATATTTTGATTTTAGTCCCCAAAAATAATTTGTATTGTAGTCCCTCCTCTTTTTTTTATATATAAATTCAGCACTTTTGGTTCCTCTCACTGACATGGCCCAACAAAAACTTGACATGCGATTTCTTAGTTAACCACATCATCACTAAGAACCAAAAGTATTAATTTTAGAAAAATTAGAGATTAAAACAAAGAACTATTTTTGAGGGACTAAAATCAAAATCTCAAAAAAATATACAGACTATAAACATATTTAAAATATAAAAATTTATCCCTCCTCCCCCCATACACACTCTACACTTTGCTTGAAACCAAATATTTTGAAGGGAAAGAACTTGGTGAGAGAGAGAATACACTTTTCCAAGAAAATGTCCCTTGTTTGGAGATGCGAGACAAGAGAGATGGAGGAAGGGAGATACAAGAATACTGGCATGGGGCCCACCTCTCATTTGGTTTCTCCGTTTAGAGAAGAAAATGGGAGACAGAGAGGGTAATTCAATGTAATGACAAAAAATCCTCACTTTAGTTAATTTTATTATATTTTAAGTATAAAGAGGGTCATTTAACTAATTATATTTTCTTGCTTCTTTCTTTTTATCCAATCAAACATGACTAGAGAGAACTCAAGTTTTCTTCATCTTCATTTTCTTTCCTTATTCATCTTAATCAAAACAACCTAAAAATCTACTCATTTTCTCTTCTCCACTTCTTTCTATCCTACTTCTTTCTGCTCTATTTCTTCTCACAACCAAACAAAAATTAAGGATTTTCCAGGAAGACTATCTATACAAAAGGATGGTAGAAACATCCACATCTATTTAGTGTTCAATTTTTGAAGCAGAACGATTTCTAAAAGACAAACCTGATTACGCTCGACATAGTCATCCAAGAAATCTTTAACATCATTAACCTGCTCAGGACTCAATTCATCATTATCTAGTAGCCTCAAAATGAATTCACATTTTTTTATATGTGCCTTGTGCCGAGTAATTGATGTCTCCAGATGCGTCTGAATAACAAAAACAAACATGTCAATGTCTGGAAGAAAGGTAAACCATCATGTCTGCAAAATATATGTTCAATAATTTATACCAATCTGGGCGGCCTGCTTTTTCCTTTCTTAACAGAAAGCCCTTCAAGCTCTGCTTCAAAGTTATCTATCTGGGATTCTAACTCTCCAACCTACTCAAATAATTAAAATAACAATAAGAGCACTTGTAAATGATAAGAGAAATGAGTACGTAAGTCAAATTAATATGATTTCATTTAAATAATATATGACCAAAGAGACATCTCAATGACAATCACTAGTAAAACAGGCACCACTAGACAAGAATAAACAGCATTCTCAGAGATGAAAACCTGAAGAACCAACAAGAACTTAGACATTGCCAATAATGGAAAGGTCTCAAGAGTCAACCAGCACAACATATTTTATCATGTGACAATAAACATAAACATTAGACACAAAGAGAGTAAGGCTGACCATTTGCCTAAGCAAGCACTGTGCACATGAGCTGCTCCAAACAATGAGCTAGCCATACAGAACACAACAAAGTAAAGTTGAAAGTTATTCAAAGGAATTGATTCTCATACCACATTATTTAACCAATCCCTTGTCTCGGATTTAGCCTTCTCTTTTGGATCCTGAAAGAAAATGGAGACACATTTCTCAGCCCCGAACTGACATAAATATGATCATAGAACACCAAGAGAAAGTCCAAAGAGTGAAAATTTACAACAAAAGTTAATAGCCAGTCAAAGACTTACAGTCTTTGGCTGTTGACCTAAGCCTTCTTTGGAGAATGCTTTGGTCTTTGTTTCCTTTTCACATATCTTAAATCTTTCCATTTCTCGCTCAATTAGCTTGCGTGCATCCACCAGAGCCTGCTCATATGAGGCACTAACCTATGTCAAGATGTCACAAGAGAAAGCATGGTCAAAATAAAAAACAAGGAGTTAAGGTTAATCATTTAATATTTAAAACATGATACACCTCACTATTACACAAGTCAACCCAAGGAGCACTACCATCTAACCAGACAAGAAATAAGTGGATCTAGATCCTTTCTCATTGTGGCAGAAACTAGATCGTATTCGCTCAAGTGAATTGAGATTTGCTTAAATGAATATGAAACACTGGATGCAAAACTTAGGTGAAATTTCACTTAAGCAAATTAAAATTCACTTAAGTAAATCTTGTCCTGAAGCCTTCGCTGCACATACTGATAGTGCAGACTGCAGAGAGAGAAGGAAAATAATTTGACAAATAAAGTTAAAACTATCTAGCACGGCTTCTGCAGAACCTGCAACACTGCACCCACTTATCTCTTCTCTTCTCTTTCTCTCTCTGCTGTGATACTCTCTATCATGTAGCCAGAGCCAGGCCCAGCTTTCTTTTTTTTCTTTTACTTTCTCTCTTAACTAATAACTATATGATATGCTATGGACTATGATACTGTGACTGGGAGTCGTATCTTATTGAGCCATTGAGATGGAAAAGCCGTTTGGTGTGGCTGTGATGAGCAGCAGTAATGGATGATTAGCCCTTCCTTTCACTAAGGCGAAACCCATACTTTATTGACCCTTCATGATTTTTCCCCTTACCAGTGCTGGATGAATACTTGGGTGGTATTATCACACAGAAAGCAGGATCTGCTTAAGCAATTTCACTAAAGTTTTGCGCCCAGTGTTTTGTATTCGCTTAAGCGCATATGAAACTGGATGGTCTGGTTCCCACCACAAAGGGATCCAGAATGAATGGGTTAACACAATCCACTCAGCTCATATTCATACTAACACAATGCAACGGGATCCTTGATTCCTTGCCAGAACATCAGTAGAATAGTGCATGTTTAGTTCAGCTTATTTTGAGAAAAATAATTGCTTATCCTGAGAGAGCTATTTAAAAATCAGTGATTGTTCCCCTTGAAAATAGCTGTTCCAAACATGCTATAATCCCCAAGGTTAAAACTCAGCCAAATTTACACCTGGCTTCACCTCCATGTACTGAGAAACTTTGCAACACAGACGATGTGTGCTTGAATTAGCTAATTTAAGGTTCAAAACACCTTATAGTCTTCACCGGGGGAACTTCTAAGGGAGGAAAAAAAAGATGATTTTCCCTAAAAATTGACCAAAACCATACACCCATTAACATTAGCGTACCTGATGCCTAACATAAATCTAAAAAATAGCTCAAACATACACACACAATTCACAGTGCCACAGAAATGAATTATTTTAAAAAAAAATAGAAAACTAGAAATTTATCATTGCGGTTACACTCTGGAACAAGCATGGAACTAATACCTTCTTGTCCTTGATCTCACTGGACTGAATCCAAGTCTTAATTTGATCTCTATATCTTTGGAGCTTCTTAATCTCCTTCTTGAGGTCTGCTTCGAATTTCTCCTTCTGGTTAGCATTGTCCGTGTCGTATACCTATACCCAAACCAAACCCGCCATTTTGTTCGGTGACAACGAAAATGAAAAAACATAAAACAAAAACAAAAAGTGAGAGAAACAAAAGAAGGACCTTGTTCCAGATGCTATCGAATACTTCAACACCTTCCTGCACTTTCTTCAGAACACGATCTATCTCTCCCTGAAGCTTTCGACTCGCACCCATTGATTACGGTTATTAATTAACTCAATGCCAGAGTGGTGGACCAATTATCAATGTTCAATTGGTGTTTGATTCTGGTTCTAGGGTTTGTTTCTGCACTCACTCGTTTGCTCAGAAGACGCGGAGATTCTACCACGATGTTTTTTTTTTTCCATGTCATTTTAATTTTATACCCTTTCTTTTTTTTTCTTTTTTTTTTTGTTGGGGGAGAAGGTGATTGACACCGTGGGACTTTCCGCACGTGATCCGGGTCGGAACAAAGTTTGGTTGAACGGATCATTACATTCTAACTCGATGCAATGGAAATCAGAGAAAAAAAAAAGACAGAATAAAATAAAAAAGAAATAAAGTTATATCAATTAAAGAAATTTATACATATTCAAACAGGAACCTCCAACGAAAACTCTCCAAATCATAATATAATCCAAACTAGTATGTCTCAATTCAACTCACGAAATAAAAAATAAATTATTCTTATTATAATTTATTTTTTATTATTAAAAAGTTCTTTAATATATATATTTTTTTACAAAAAAGTCCTTAAAGAAAGAACAAAGTTCTCATAGTTATGATTCAAATAATATTTTTTTCAAATTTTTTTATTTTTTTCTTTATCACTAATTTTTTAGTTAAATTTCTTAAAGATATTAAAATATAATTTAATTTTGTTGCAATTGGAGTTTTGGATTTAAAGTTTGAAGAGTTAAAAAATTAAAAATAGAGAATAAAACAATGCCTTCAATAATTTTCGCGAACCTTAATTTTTACAACAAGTTATTATTAATCAAAGTTTCAAAATTTTTCATAATTTCAAGGATGAGAAGATTTCAAAAGAGGAACAATATAAGTGGTTCAAGGTTATTCTTATTTTTACCACCTCATTCAATCATAACTTATATCTCATTCTTCCGTATGCATTATGTATCAAGATTAGAGAGTACAATAATGGCGATATTTTAATAAGGTTGATGGAATATGGTTAGAAGTACCATCATTTCCTTGTATATTTTATTTTCAAATGAGTTTCTTTTCTTTCTTACTTTTTCTATTCAATTTATTATATTTTTCTTAGGTTTGTTCCAAACTATTTAGGTAGTAATGCGTAATAGAAATAATTTGAAAATAGTTTAAAATTATCTTGATAAACGTTGAAATAATGCTTATGATATATTTTTTATTTAAAAATCTCCATGCAAAGATATTTCATGCTCACATTATTGTTGTTGAAGAATGTCCAATGCAACCTAAATTATAGAGAATCATTGGCTAAATCATTGTGTTTGGACATCTCCTTGTGGGTTATAACTCTTGTTTACTTTGCTTTGATGCTGGTTTTTTTAAGTTATTTTTCTTTTGTGGTTTGTGTCTTAAGTCTTATATTCTTGCATGTGGGGGTGGGGGGGGGGGGGGAGGAGAATTTGTACTACCCAAATTTGTTCTTGATGATGCTAGATGAAATTTTGTGAAAAATTGTCTTGTTTGTTTCTTTAAATTGAAGCTTCCTTGTAAGAGTACATTTGAATGAAAAATGTAATTTATGTATGAAAATAAAAATTATGTATTAATTCATTTAATGATGGTTATCGCAATTTGTGTGCAAGTCAATTGCATAATTACCAGTCTTATCAAAAGTGTACTTAGAAAATGGTTAATAACTATTATCATAGTAACAAATTTATTAACTATTTATTCAAAAAAACTCTATTAAAAATTGTTATATTACATAAAATTGATTAATTGAGCATGAAAGTGGATTTAAGTGGAAAATACTATGATTCAAGAGAATGTGAAAATTCAACTTTCTAATGGCATTCATTACCACAATGTTATTATTATAAGGCACACTTAAATATGGCAAGAAAATAGGATCTCAAATAAAAAAAACAAGAGTTGCAATTCGTTGAGCTACAAACTACCTACATAAGTGTGCCACATTCACAACTAGTAGGCTCTATCTTGGGGTTGGAGACCCAAATGTGAACCACAAATGTTGGGAGAGGTCATAGGAAATAGACACTACTAGAACTGTATTAGGTCTCTCCCAATAATCCTAGATCATATGAAAATTGATGTTTCTATAGCAGCTTCATCAATTATTTTTAGAAGGGTTGATCGAACATAATATAAGCTATTGTTAAGGACTTCCTAATAGGTTTACCACTTTGCTTTGTAGTATCAAGGTTTTTATAGTGATTCATTTGAGTCTACTATTTGCCCATTTTATTGCTCATATTTTAGTTTTTAAGGTAAAATCATTTTCTAGTTAGTTACTAATGTTTAATGTCTATTGTAGTTTTCAATCAATGTTGTTTGGTTGGACATGCAATATTGAGTGAGGGTAAATAATGTGTTATCTTAATAAGCTTTATTTGTTTTCTAGGATGAGTTATTGTGGGGAGTTGCATGACTTTTGAGAGCAACAAATGTTGTGTACTAGTATAATATGGTGAAGTCATTAGGAGGTGATGATCAACCAGATATCTGCAGCTAGGATAATAAATATGTTGGTACACATGTCCTTTTTTTAAGGGTACTATATTGGCTATTGTATCATCATTGATTAAAATATATAAAAAGTCAACTAGTTTGTCTAACTCATTGTTTCTATTGTAACAATTAATTGTAATTAGGTATTTGAATTCTAACTTTTATGAGTGATCCAACAACATGTAGTGTAGGTACTTCAAGGTTTAACATTATAGTCTAGAATGTTGATACCAACAAAATACAGATCAATGCTTATTTTTTGTTTAATTAAGAAATAAACTAATTATGACTATTATTCTTTCATGTTTCAAAGACCAATTAAGAAAATTCATTAAAGTAACCAACTGATTTGATAAATGATAAACTTTTCACAAAAAATTACTTGTTGTAGATATCCCACTTTCGAACTTCATAGAGTATTTCTTATAGATCATGTTGATTTAAGTAATTTGTAACTACACAAACATCTATAATACTCTCATTGGCTTGCTGTTTGAAAACAAGAGAAAAAGATTCTTTAAGCCATGATGAACAAGCCAATTTGAAAAAAATAAATCAATATTAAACCTAGCCATGTATAAGGTTCAAGAATAACTTTCATGCAACATGAAACTTTTTCTAGACTTAAGTTGAAACATAAGAACATATTACCTATGATGACCTAAGAGTGTTTTGAGCTCTTCTTTCATTATATTTCAAACTAGTTCATGTAACCTATTATGAAATTTCTTTCTAAAACTTAATTTGTGGTACTAAATATGTATCTATAAAATATCACTTTGCATACTTAATCAAATGTATTAAAAAATAGATGGATTTACACATCTAAAATACAAAGACTCTATAATCAAAATAATACATGTTTATCTAGCTTTTCTTTTAAATTTTTAACAAATAAATCACTAGATCATTATTCTTCTCTAGATTAAAAAGCAAAAAAACATATTTATAATAATAATTTACCATTCCAACAATTTTTCTCACATTTTTTCAAGAACTAAAACATAATCTATACCCTCTTCTAACATTCGATGAATATCTAAATTATTTCTGTCACAATCATTTCCATTTAAAATGATATTAAAACTATCAATTGGCCCAGGTCTATCTGCAATCTTTATGTGAATTGTGTGGGCATGCTAACCATCAGAAGATTGATTATCAGTTAAAAGCATACTACCACAAGGCACAACATAACTCAGCCACCTTGAAAACTACTTGCATGGGTGGCAAAAAGTACTTATTTAAAAATGGATACATATGCATAGTATTATAATATAATGTATGCTTTGATAAACATTTTAATAATAAAACTTTTTTTTCATTGTTTTTATTCTAGCTTATGAGAATAGTAGCAAGAGTTTATTTTGTTAAAATTTTATTTTAGAAACATAGTTGTTTATTTTCAAAAGCTTTGATAAGAAAACTAACAAAAACAAGTAATTATTTATGTAAAATTAGTTAAACTAAACACACAATAAAACAAATTGTTTATGTGTAAGCAATTTTTTTTTCAATCTTAAAAAATCACATTCAAATGAGCCCTTGTAACCACAGTTGATTTGATTAGAAAAAAATAATAATAATTAATTACATACAAAAAATGTTAAAAATTGAAGTTTTATTCTAAAAAATAAGTTTACCACCTTATTGTGACTATTTTATTTATTTTATTATTTAACTTTTATTTTTGTTAATCTTAATCAAAACACATATATTCTGTTATTTAATATTATAAATATTCAAATAAAGTAAATCCATCAATAGATCACGAAACAATGTCAATAAATATGTTATATTTCAATATGAATATATTTTCTTAAACTTAAATTAATAAAATATTACTTAACAGCGTCTCAATCAATATTAAATAAATTAACTTTAATATCACTTAAAAAATTTAATATAATTAAAAAAAAATTATATCTCAAAATTACCTAATATACAATTGCCAAATTAAATAATTAAAATTTAAAGATGTTGTTTGAATTAATTTAAAATTCATTTTAGATTCAAATATTGATAGGGCGAGTTCTAATGACAAAATTTTATTTTTCATTGGTTTACATTTCAAGACCTTACTTCTCAAATAAATATAATAAAATATTTTTTATATCTCAAAATTATCTAATATACAATTTTCAAATTAAATAATTAAAATTTTAATATGTTATGTACATTAATTTTAAAAATATTAAAAGTCACTTTAGATCTAAATATTGATAGGGCGAGTTCTAATTACAAAATTTCATTTTTCATTGGTTTACATTTCAAGAGCTTACTTCTCAAATAAACAATTTAAGGCTCTCATTTTGTGTTCATAACATTTTCCCATTGAATTTTATGGACACAATTTCTTAAAGTATAATATGATGAAATTTCATTTCTAAAAATGAAAAAATATTCCTTAGAATAAAATGGATATAAAAAGAGGTGGATTTGCACCTAGGCATGTGGATGCCCTCTCACTTAACAGCAAAAAAGTGCTTCCAAAATTCAAATATTGTAATGGGCCACATTTTTGGACACGTTTTGTGGAATTGACCCCACTGCTTATTAGTCACAGCACCTGTTCAAAGCAAGAGAGGCCACGTTCACCCCTACATCAACACACGCAACGATATCAGCCTTTTTCCCCCAAATTTCTTCGCTATGTTTTCAAGTCAAGGATCCAAATTCCAACCAGCAACTTGTTTCCACTTGCCCATATATTTCCAACACTTGAATGCAACCCACAAATAAAGGGTTTCTTGAAGCTTCCATCGTCTTTTTAAACCCCATGACTTGTACGAAATGGGTCCTAATAAGGCAAGAGAAGATAGAAGTTTGTTTGTTTCTATTCAAAGGATATCTTAACAATGGTAGATGAGGTGCCACCACAAAATTTGTGCTTTCCTATAGAATTACCTTTTCCAAATATCACAGTTCAACAAAATGCACCTTCATAAGTATTATCATTTTTATAATATAACAAGAAAGGCTAATTTTAATAATTGAACCATGGTCTTCAAGTTACAAGATAACATCGACACCATAGATCTAACCTAATATATTGATTAAACCAAAACAATAAAAGACTAAAAATCTTATAAAAAAATATAGTTTGTCACTCTTAAATTATTTTTAGTTTATTTTAATAATTTTTTATAACATAAAAGTTATTTTTAACTTATTACCAAAAAAAATCTCTAAATTCAGAGTCAAACTATCATTTAAATTAATTCAAAGTAATAAAGGACTAAAATCTTGTGAGAAATACTTCCTAACTCTTAAATTATTTTTAGCTTATTTCAATAATTTTTTATAACATAAAAAATAAGTTATTTTCATAAATTATGACACACACCTTACCTTATGATGGCCTTTACCTTGTTTTGTATCTCTATAACTTGGGGCTGAAATAGAATGATAATCATAAACAATAATGGGAATACTCGTTCCTTTTGAAAATGGTTGTTCCCCTTTCAACAACCAAACCAAGCATTAGATGAGAACAAAAATACAGCGTTCCATTTCCTTCCCCTGAACAAAAAGAAAACTCATAACGGCAATTCCCTCAAACCAAACAGCATCTCAGAACCACAATAACTCTTCTTAACAATCACATTTAGCATGATTGCAGCCCCCACCTTCAGCATCTAGAACATAAGTCAATTATCCATCGGTGAGTAAAATGATATTCATTACACAACAATAAGAGGAGATACCATAAAACACAGAAAGAGCACTGATACTTTTACAGCTTCTAATTTCCCTAACATTAGCAAGGCATGGATCCAAAAAAACATAAATCCAATTGCCTTGAAGAAAAACATACTACGTGACTTGATCTCCAATGATGTCTATAAAGACTTGATCTCACAAGTATACTACTGCTACATCAAGATATTACACCAAACCAATCCTACACTGTACAAAGGATGGAATCAGAAGATGGAGTTAGTTACAATCTGACCATATCATCTACCAGAAGTGGTCAAGGTTCTCTCCTTGGAGACCTCAGAATTGTGGGTCAAAAGAGATATAGGAAAAGATTCTGAACAAGGAGAAGCAGCAGTTTCAGTTCCGGACTCTTCATTTGCAGTGATTTGTGCAAGTTGTGAAGTTTTTGGTGAGTATGTGAAGGAAAGATCTTTGTTGGCAGACAAAGCTAGGAGCTCTTTCTCCTCTAATCCTTTGGTTGGGCCCAAGCTGCATCTATCTGGGGTGTGTTTGGCTAATGCATCTTTAAACTTCTTGATCTGTAGTTAAATCAAGCTTTATCAGTTATCTTCAAATTGAATGTTGTAATTAATATGAAATCTATCTTTACCATGAGTCAACTCAACAGTGCATATAAACAATCCTACAGCAAACATGCATCTCAACATCTATTATTCAAGTAGCGAAACAATTGTTAATCTTTAATCTTAAACTCGGGCTGACGCAATTCCTCCAATAAAGCAAAGAATCCTAGTTTTTATCCTAAAAGGTTAAAACATGCATAATATAAATTAACCAAAGCTTGACCAAGTAATAAAAATATATATATTAGGCATAATATTATCAAGCCAGAAATGAAATGAAATCGACAAAGCATGTACACTAACCGTTGCATTGGTGCAGCTAAAGCTACATAATCGACCATGAGCACCTCTATAGAAGCGGAAAAAGGGAAGAACATGGACATTAAGGCTATAACACATAGATTTGTGCTCCTCATAGTTCACTTGAAGAAATTGAACATCAGAATTCATCTCTGCCAGTTGACACAACTGCCATACCAACCATAAACAAAGGAAAATCAGAACCAACAAACACATTAGCCAATCATGAAAAAAGTTAAAAAGGGTGGGGGAAGAATACCTTAGGATGAAGGGCTTTGCAGCCACCGCAACCAGGAGAGAAGAAATCAACAATAACCAACTTCTCTCCAGCACTTAAAAGTGAGTCCACAAGGTCTTGTGCAGAACTCACCTCTTTCATGTTGGGTTGAAGCCCCTTCTCCCACCATTTCTGAACACTCCCTATTCTAAGGGTCATCTGCAAAATCCCATAAGAAAGTTCCAGAAATCCCATCAGAAACACACAAGTCATCTCAAAATTAAATAAACTAGAATTAATTTGGAAAATTTTCACGAAAATTAACAACAAAAATATCCAACAATTGAAAGGGTCTTAATTCTTTACTTAAAAAAGGATAACCCAAGAATAAAATTGAATTAAGGGATGAAAATTGAAAACCAGAAGGGGTAATTTAACTATTACCAACCTTAGCCCCACTTGAAGCTCGAAATTGTGAGTTGCCCCTGTTGGGTATTCCTCTATTTACACGAAAGACAAGCTTTTTACCCTGAAATTCAGATGAAGATCTGAGAATCTGAGATTTTAGCTTCAGAGAAGGGAGGTTTCCAGAGCCAGAACCGAATCTACAATTCTTGGGAACCATAGATACCCGTCGTTGATGCTGTTGTCTATCTCCATACCAAGAAGAAAGCAAACTAGTCTTGCCCAAAACCTCAGCCATTAAATCTTTTTTTGCTTCAGAAAACACAGAAATTGAAACCCCTCTTCTTTACCTTCACTTTTCCTTCCAATTGAGAAAAAAATGAAAAAGAAAAAACAAGTGCAGAATAGAAAAGGGTCTGCACAAGAAGGCTTTATCCACAAACAATTGCGAACGACGTGTAAAGTTGCGGGTTTGAAGGGGAACGGAAGCAACCCAAATGGAAAAGAAAGGAAATAAATAAAATGATGAGAATAGATAAAGTTGAATCATTCCGTGGATCGCGTAGAACTCTGGTTGATGGCTGTGATGTGATCGTCGGTGAGATCGGACGGTGAAGAAGTGATCGTGCATAGACACGCGGCGACTAGTTGAGTGAGCGTAGAGAAATCTGTTGGATAAGAGACATTTAAGGTAGGGTGGGGCCCGCACGTGTGGTGAAGTTCTCAGGTCGTTAACACGTCGCCTTGCCGTTAGATTTGATATTTGCCTTTGGATAAAGTGGCTCCTCATGTTTTTACCCTTCATCGTTGCCGTTAATTCAATTTCGATTCTTTTCTTCTTTTTCGGGGGTTCTAAATTTTCGCTCAATTTCAATCAACTCGGAATCATATTAACCTCTCTCGTTTTGCTGTTCACTTCATGACTCTGTTCACTGTCTTTTCTTCTGATTATTTTAAAGAAAAGAAAATAAACACAGAAAAAAATTAAAATTTTAATCGAGAAAATAAGATAAAAATTAATATTGTTGTGTTAAAAATATTTTAATTTTTTCGTTAATTAAATATGAAATACTTAAGATTATCTCTATTTTTGTTTTTAATTGTCTTTTCTATAAGTTGAATAAAATAATTTCTCTTTTATGAACATTGAATGTAGATGTCTTAGGGAAGGAAATTTTGTAAGTTTTGAAATATTCTTACCAAGCAGAGTTCGTGAAGATGAATGAATTATCTTTCCTTGCAAAGTTTAATACATCTTGAGAAAGTGTTTTGGATAAGTTTCGACTAGAATTAATATAATTTTAACTCCTATATTTTGATTAATTTCTTCTGAATGGAAGAAGCTCAAAAGCTTAGAGGTTTTGTCAAAAAAAATAAAATAAAATAATATTTTGACATGTTCCATGATGGATGAAAGAGTTTTTCTATTATATAAAAAAAAATCATAAGAGTTCCAGAGAATATGTAGATTAAGATTAGAAGCGCTAAAATGAGTAAAAAAGAGATATTTCAACATAATTTCTTAAAAAGTTGTCAAAAAAGGAAGATTTGTTTGAGGAAAGGATTTTTATGAGTTAAAAAAAGAGAAGGGTACAAAGGAGGAGGAAATTTATCAAAAAACGTAAAAACATCTTGAAATAATTTTCAACAGTTATCAACTGATACTTCTAGCTGAAGATCAAGACAGATGAAGCAGATCGTGGACTAAAAGTCTATAGTAGTTACAAAGAAACGTGTAAAATAAAGTTACGAAGAATGTTCATACGAGAAGATAAGAGGTTAAAATAATTTGTATATAAATAAAACTAGCTTCTACGTTTTTGAAGTTACGACTTTTACACATAATACTCAAAATTTATGTATCCTAAAGTTTAAATTTATCAACTTGAAGATCAACGGACTTATATTTATTCCTATCAAAAACCGTACGTTTACGTTTAGTAATTTAATTTTAATTTATTTCTTTAATTTTTATCTTTAATTTCAATATTGCATCATTCCTTTATTTCTATCCTTTCTATTTTATTGATTTACTTTGCAACGCTAACAAAAAAAACTCAAAGAGAATTTAAAGTTTAATCATAGATTGCTTTTAAATTTATTTATTTATTAATTATAATTTTTACTATAAATAATAGGTTGTTTAAATAAAATTTTGTTTGATAATATTCTTCAGCATATTTCTCTCAATATAAAAGAAATAAAACACATAAAATTAAAGTGAATGGTGTGTTATTTTTATTTATACAATAACATTTTAAGCCTTTTTTGTTGATCTAATAATAATAATAATAATAATTTATATTTTTTTATTTGAAACCAAATATAATCACACAATCTTTATAGTTTTAATTTTTAAAAAAATAATAAAGTCATGAATCAGGGCTTGTTTGATTTAATTTTAATTTTTAAAAATTATATTTTAAAACAATTTTATAAAACAATTTTTAAGAAAAAATAAAAATAAAAATTGTTTAGTAATTTAGTTTTAAAACTATTTTTAGTTAAACTTTTATTAATTTTAGAAAGAGAAACAAAACAATAAAACCAACTAAATTTTGACGCACGTGAAAATAGACGCTCAAGTACACGACCATGTACTTAGACTGTGTACATCTCTGATTTCTAACACGTGCCCTTCAAAGCTTTTCTGAAAAGTATATGCCCACGTACACGGTCATGTACTTTGACCGTGTACATCTCTGGTCTAGATGATGCCTTTCAATTGAAGCGACCAGTGATATACACATTCATATACACAGGTGTGTACTTGCCCATGTATATCTATGGCTTGATTGTGTGCTTGATGTGTGTATCCAGTGAGATACACGCTCATATATACGAGCATGTACATCTCTGGTTCTTTTCTTGCTTCACTTTAAGCTTTCACTTCTTGATCCTTTTTCCTGAAATATGAATAAAATGAACTTAATAATAGTAAATTCTCTTAGTGAATAGTTAAAAAGTATCAATTATCATCATGAATTATAATGTAGGACCAAGTATAGAAAGCATCTATCACCTGTTTCTTGAATGAATTGAACCATGATATCCATGACATAGCGAAACTTCATCCCTATGTAGAACTTGAAGATTTGGTTAACCAAGCTATCAAAGTAGAAGCACAACTCAAAAGAAATGGGACTTTGAAGAAGAGTGCCTCTTCCTGTAACTCACAAGGATGAAAGTCATGAGTGAAGGAGGAAGTAACATCAACTAAAGATATAGTTGTCTAAAGTAGTAAACCCTCACCTGAAACTTCTTTTAATTTTATTAATGCTTTTGTTTCTTCTACTTCTGGACATAGGAAAATCAAATGCTTCAAATGCTTTGGAAAGGGTCACATTGCATCTCGATGTCCAAACAAGAAAACTATGACTTTGAAGAAAAATGGTGAAATCTCAAGTACAAGTTTATCTCAATCATCGCATGTTTCAAGTGAAGAAGATAGTGAGTTTGAAACTTTATGCCATGAAAGAGATTTGCTTATGGTAAGACATCTCTTGGGTAGTATAGCTAAAGAGGATGACACTATGCAAAGAGAAAATATTTTTCATTCAAGATGCTTGTTGAAAAATCGAATCTTACTACGATTCCTCACTCCAACCCCTGTAAGCTTATAATGGTTGAGTGATGAAGGGGAGTTGATTGTTAATAGATAAATTTTGATTACTTTTTCTATTGATAAGTATGAGAATGAAGTCTTATGTGATGTAGTACCTATGGAAGCAAGTCATATCTTTTTGGGAAGACCCTGACAATTTGGCAAGAAGCTATTCATGATGATCATTCCAACAAGTTTACATTTGTACATAAAGGGTGCACAATCACTTTAGTTCCCTTGACTTCTAGTCAAGTGCATGAAGATCAAATAGTCATGAAGTTAAGAAGAGAGCAAAAAAAAAAAAAGAAGAAGAAATGAAATGAAAAAAGTTAGTTTGAGGGCAAACTTAAAAAGAAAGGAAAAAATGTGAAGACACTTATAAGTGAGAAATATGAGAGTGAAAAGAAAGGTAAAAAGAAAAATCAATATGAAAAGAGAGAAAATTTGTTTGTGAGAGAAAAAGAAGTGAAAAAAGTTTTGTTGGCTACTCAGCCTATATATCTACTTTGGTGTAAAGAAAGTCGTCATAATAAATTTATTGATTCCTTTGCTAACAATATTTTGCCTAGTGGTATTTCCTTTCTTTTGCAGGATTTTGAAGACATCTTTCCTAAAGAAGTATCTTACGGCCTACCTCCAATTAAAAAGATAGAACATCAAATTGAAAAGAAAGTGGAGCAACAAGTAAAGTATGTCAGCAAGGAAAGGAAGAAAGTAGTATTTAAACCTAGAGATTGGGTTTGGGTACATATGTGCCAAAAAAGATTTCCTATGCAAGGGAAGTCAAAGCTTCAAATAAGAGGGAATGGATTATTTCAAGTCTTAGAGAGGGAATGAAGATAATGCATACAAAGTGGACTTATTAGGTGAGTATGATGTTAGTGCTACTTTTAATGTATTTGATTTATCTTTCTTTGATGTAGGTAATAAAGAGTCAAATTTGAGGACAAATTCCCTAGAAGAATGAGAGATTGACGAGAATCAAAAAAAGCTTATTGAAGGCAAAGATTTGAAGACATTGGAAGGACTTCAATGACGAATGACAAGGGCAAGGGCAAGGGTAAAGAGAATAAATGAAGACTTAGAAAAGATGGTTGCTGTCCTATTTGAAAAATAGCTTAATTTGGAGTTAGAAAAACCCAAGATGGTCAATTACATATGCTTAGAGAATTTGGACTCTAATGAGTTTCATTAGGATTTAATTATTGTGTGTAGTTTATTTATTTTAATATTAGTCATTACTTATTTTGAGTTCTTATTTAGGATAAAATCTTATTATTTTATTTAGTTTATTTAAATTCATGCTTTTTAGTACAAGAAGCACATTAGGGTTTGTGATAATATTGGTTTACGAGCACTAGACATATATAAGCTCTTGTAAACACATTTTGAATTAGTTTTTAATATAATTTAAGATTGAATACTTTGTGAGAGCGTATGATTCTAGGTTCTTAAGTGAGTCAATTTTCTTTGATTTTATCAAGAGGCCAAGACTCTTGTAACGATCGTCCTTTGGCTTATCAATCTTGTGGTTGTGGCGCCATTTTCTATCTCTATTCTATTTCCACATTTATTAATTTTCTTCTTGTTTCAATTTCTATTTGTCCCCTAATAATTTTATTTTTATTGTGTGAAATTCAATTCAAAATCGTTTAATGACAATGACATCTTATTTCTAATATCTTAGGCAGTCTTAGGATGCTCTCTGATTGCCCTATCTTCCCCACATATGATGACCATCTTGTCATTGTTTGGAATAGGCTTTTTCATCCACTCTTCATCTTCATGTTTAGTCTGTCAAATAAGTTATCAAAAAAGGTTAGAAATAAATACTATAAAATTATATAAAATCAGGAAGTTCAAATTTTGTAACATACCTGAATTAGTTTTTGCCAAACTTCGAGTTTAGCAAGCTATCGCTTTGTGTTTGAATTCCATGCAAAT